AATAGAGGCTTGTACCAGTATGCAGACCTGTGTCCCTCTCCCTACATTGCTGGGTCTCTTTACAGCAGTGTTGCCAGGTGGCTGCTCTGGTGCATCATTAGACACTGTTCCAAATAGCACCGGCAGGAGTGGTTCAGCACTCAGAGGAAAATGAGCTGGTGATGGATAGCTCTGGTGATGCCAAAGTCATTAAAATATGAACCTCTGATGAAGTGCAGCCAGGGTTCCAGTGCCTGCAGCAAGAGGTAGGATGTATCCATCCTCCCTATGCTCAGCTGCTGGAGGTGGGATGAGGGGACAATGCTGCTCTTTGTCCCTTCCCTTGTCCTGCTGGGGCTGAGAAGGCTGCTCTCCTTAAATGTTAGTGGCTCCCTAATTGGTGATGGCCTGGAATCCCTGCCAGGAGAACGTTAGAGTGATGCTCAGAATTCTTGCATGCTCCCTCATGACCAAACACCTTGCGGTCTGAGCGTTTGGTACCCTTGACACTGTTAGTGCTGTAATGAGACTGAGGGTCTGTGGTGTCCTTGGAGCTACTCTCCATCTATGGTATACCCAGCAAGGATCATCACAAGTAGTTTTCCACGTTTGTTCTTCCTCTTCAGGCTCTGTTCACTCCGGAGTCCTCAGTGCAGCCAGTGATGATGCTATCTCTCTCCTATCCCCTGCTTGGTGATGTGAAATGAGGGGTGGGGAGCACTATTCATCAACAATCAAGGGAAGGAAATGAGTCTTATTTGATATCCATAATATCCATTGCCGAATAAGCATGGGTGTCAGAAACATCTTTCTCCGATGCCTTCTCCCTGCACTGTACCTGTTGCCAAAGACAGGAACTGAGCCTCAGTAACTTGCCATGAGCCTGCATCTCTGTGGCCCTGAGGCTGTAACGCTGTGGCAGGGCAAAGTGTTTCTCTGGGCTGAGGGAAGGGAAAAAAGGGTGTTCTTACATAATCAGTGTGTCCTAGAATGGGCACAGAATTGATGCAGGTGGTTCCCTATGAGGGCTCTGAGTGAGGGGATGCTTCCATGTGGCCCCATTCAGGGTGTGGGGCTGGAGAAGAGGATGACATGGGCAGAGTGGCCCCATGAGGAATGGCTGCTGCAGGCCACACGCCGTTTTCCCATTAGCGAGTGTTTAGTTCAGCGTTTTAAATAATTGTGTCCTCGGAATGATATTTAAAATCCATTTGGGAGGCAATGAGGCAGGAAAGTGCCTGTGCCATTGTGATGACGCTGCGCAGGGCGCGCCGCACATGCATATTACAAACTCGTTACAGACTCGTTTACACGCACGCTGCTTGCTCCCCACACAACCTCTTTCTGATGGTTCTAATGTCTCTTCCCTGCCATGGCTGCTTGTGTTTGTCAGGAGAGAGAAACTTGCTTGATAAGGCAGTACTGGTGTTATCTGCAGCAAAGGAAGCAGGGAGCACACCCTGGGCAGAGGGATGCTGGCCTGGGAAATGGAGGCTTAGGGGCCGTGTTTGCTGATGGGCCCTTCCCATGCCTTGTCCTTCACTTGTGCTCTACACACAATGCAGAGCAGTAGCTACTTTCTGACAAGCCCTCACACTTCGGTTTTTGCAGGCTCCAGACCCTGCAGCCCTGGGGCTCTCAGCTGCTGGACTCTGGGCACAGATGGGGAAAGAGTTGCAGCATCTGTACCTGGGATGACTATGAAGCTTTGTACCAGCAGGCTCTGGTGAATGTCCATGAGAAGCTGCAGGAGCTAAAGGGGGTAGGCATAAGGGAGCAGATGGAGCAGCAGCTTCAGCAGTAGCTCGCTGAGGAGTGGTGAGTAGCTGAATGGAGTGGCCCGGCTGCTATTCATACATCCCCATTCCTCCCTGATTGCTGCATGGACACCATTTAGATGTCCTCCTAGCCTGTCAAAGTCCTGCACTGTATTACAGGTCTCCCAATATCACCTTGTCCTTGTACTGCTGGGGTCCTGGAGGCATGAGCTATGTTCACTCTTTTCCCCGTGTCCTCTCCCTCCTGATCATACCCAGGTCCAGGGCTCTGCTGCTGTAGTCAAGGACAAGCTGTGTTCTGATGTCCATGTCTCCTGCATAATGACATCACTGGCCGCTTCCTTGACTTTCCTGATAAGGAAATAGGTGGCTGTAGCATTTTCTTCTCAGAATAAACCTCTGAGCAAGTATAGCAGCAGAAGTAAATCTGCAGTGGGAATAGAGGCTGTTATAATAGAAGAGGAAGGGCAGATTATTAAATATGTGGCCTTTTGGTCACACTGAGATGACGAATGACCATGACTCAGGAGGTGAGATGAGCTTTCCCCCATAGAGGCTGCTTATTCTGAATTTCTAGGGTGCTGGAAACACATGTGTTATAGAACAGTCTCAGGCTGGACGGACTGAGTGTCGCAGTCTTATGCTGAAAGCATGCTAGCTCTGATGGGATCTGACGGAAGGCAATGCTTTGAACAGAGCCTGAATGTGATAGTGGGCCTGGCAGGACTAAACTTGAATGTAAGAGCTCTCTTTCCTGGTTGCTCCCCGCTATGTACAGCAGCTAGGATTGTATAAGAAATAGCCCTGTACTTTTGCAGGTCAGAGATGAAGTCAATCAGATAGAAGACAAGAAAACGAAAAGAAGAAAGAGAAGGGGAAAGGTGAGAGAGCAGGGAGAAAAGAACAGGGCATGAAATTGGTGAGATCTTGGCTACAAGGAAGACCAGAAAAGGGCTTGTAAGAGAGATACGGACAGATAAGGTTAAGCCTACTGCTTGAGAAGAGCATGAAGGAGAAGACTAGGAAAGAAAGGCAGGGTGGTGAAACTGGGGAATGGTGGCAAGCAGAAATGGGCTGCAGGACCTCCCATTTCTCATGTGTTTTGGAGCTGTGCCCTACCCCCAGCCTTATTTCATGAGAGTAACTCACTGAGTCTGGGGTCTTTTCCCAGGAAGATGATGAGGTTTGATCCTGGCTTCATCAAAGTTCCTGACAGCAATCAATAAAGCTTTCACGAAGCACCCTAATAATGGGGACTGTGTGCTTACCAGCACATTCTAGCATGGATTGGGGGAAATCCCAAACACCAAACTAGCCTAAGCCAAACGGTGTATAGATTAGCACATGTGCTGGATGCTTGGCTTCCCTTACTGAGACTCTGAGGTTTGTCTAATGTCCCTTGGGGGAGGAGTGGCAGGAGGGGGAGGCAGGAGAGGGCACCTGTCTGCTCTTTATGCCAAGCTTCGTTCCTCACGTGCCTCTTGGTTCAGCTGATCCGAGTCAGGCTGTCACACGCTTGTACGAGCTCCCCGTGCAGCCGTCCTGCTGAGGGATAGCTCAGAGGTGCTGTAGGGGACAAGATGGGCTCTGCTCCTGGGAAGGCAGCAGTTTTTCTCTGATGACAGCAGTGGGCTGAAACACAAGGGGGAAGGGCTTGACATGATGAATGAAGTGATAAGAAATGTGCTGAGATGCTCTTCTGAAGGATGCGGTGAGGATATAGGAGAAACTTTGGGTTAAAGTCTTGATGCCTGTAGGAGTGAGTGGAAAAAGGAGCTGGAGTGGTCCTCCTGCTCAAGTCTAGCTGCCCCACCTTTGCAACTCTTTGAGGAAGTCAAGATGAACCTACCACTTTGAAGCAGCAGTACGACCTGATCAAGGTATAGAAAAAGAAGGAAATAGAAGAAGTTTCACCTGCTTTTATCTGCAGGATAATGATGTTAATGAGGAACGCAACTTCTCTGTTCCATGAGATGGTGCAGTCCGGAGAGAAGTCAGACAAGTCAGTGGAAGGGTTTCTATTATGACCTCCCTATCCAACAGAAACAATAGCGTGGTTCAGAAGGCAGATCCAGTTGTGTGGTGCAAGTCTGGGTGCAATGCCACGGGGTCCCTGACGTTAGCTCTCAGACACTTATGTGGCCTCTCATGGGGTCTCTGTTAAGTCTCCCCAGTGATCCCCAGAGCCATAAGTTGTGAGGCTGGGCAGGGAATACCTGATTCTAACTAGCTCAAATTCCTGTGGTGCCTGATGATTGGGTGCTGGACTGCTGGTCCCCATAGCCTGCCCACCTGGAGGCTTCACCTGTATCTTGGCAGTGACATAGCGATTAAAGGCTTAGTTACACAGGAGCGATTTGAAAGTAAGCAAAGCTTAACCCCTCCAGCCCTATGTCCAATTGCCACAATATCCTTGTTATTGGCATCCATCCCACATCTCCAGGAGCAGAGTTATAATGACTGAGGCAGGACAGAAGACTTCAGCAGGCTCTTTCACCTCTCCTAATGCGACCTAGTACGGCTTTGAGTGGTGGGTAGCGTAACAGAAGTTACTCTACTTAGAAGTTGAAGATACTTGCCAAGCTCTTGATGTCCTGGTGTTTTTACAGGAGTGTCTTTTCTGATCCAAAAAAAAAATTGTTTCTTTTAATTCAGGTTGCTTTTCCCAGGATGTGCCCACCTGTCTCTTGCTCTGCTAGATTGTGTGTAGGCAGCCAGGCTCAATGGCCTAGCAGAAATGCTAGGTCCCAAGAGCTGGAGTTGTCCAGAGGGAAGGCATATATATTTTATATGTCTTCAATCCCTTGTGACTTTCGCTACTGCTCCTGCTGCAGGTGTCTACCAAGGTACACCTAACCTTGACACTTCCCTCCCTCCTGCCCCCAGTTTTGTTCTGTTTCTTCCTCAAATGGAGACTGTAGTGTGGAGCAGAGGCTTTGCAGAGCGAGCTAGCAAGCATGCAGGGCAGGTTTCAGGGCTGCCTGCTCCCCCCTCCTGTGCCCAGCCTGCCTTGGAGATCAGAGCAGGCAGCTGATGATAAACTGTTGCAGGGGGAGAAGGTACTGGAAGAGAGCTGCCAAGTGGGACTATTTATACTGTGTGACTCAGGCCGGTGCTGAATCCAGCCAGATACTGAGTGCTGGAGCCCTGCAGCAGCCCACAAAGGACACAGCCTTCAACAAGGAGCTGTGGGCTGCAGCAGCCCTTCCACTGCAAGGTTCAGGCTTTTCCCATGTATTCCTAATGACGGACCGCACCTTTTCGTTCAGCTCTGCCACACTGTGCTCGCATCAGCTGGACGAGGAGAAGCTGGATTGGTGGAGGCACTCTCGGCATGGAAGGCCAAGACAAAGGGAGAACTACCTGTGCCCAATGGTCCGAGGATGCCAGAACAGCCACAGAGAGCCACTGGAGTGTCGGGACGTGCTGGTCCAGAATGCACTCTTCACAGGGGACCTGGAGATGATTCAGAAGTACTTCACCAAGGGTGCAGCTATCAATCTCATCATTGAGGCCAAGGGTGATGAGCTGCGTTGGACTAGCAGGAAATTTGGTGAGTACGTAGGGCTGGGACATCTGTGGCTGGGAAATCCCCAGGATGAGAGAAAGAGCAGCGACATCTGAGAAAAGTGTTTGGAGGAAGCCTCAGTCATGGAGATATGGTGATGGAAGAGGGGAAAGAGAGTTTTGGATAAGGAAGATGCTGGAAAATAGAGCTGCAGAATAAAGTGTATCAGATTGTTGAACATGAGCAGGAACAGGTCTACTGGGAAGGGATGAGAACAGGGTGTTTGGGAGGAATCACAGGGAGGAAGAGCATCAGGACTGTCCTAGGATGGATATGAAGTATGTGTGATGAGTTGATGTGGGTGCATTAGCAGTGACTACTTGAGGGTCCTTTGCTCCAAAGCAGAAACTTTCACACCTGCCTAGTTTTGCTTTCCTTCACAAATGGGGTTTTTACCCTGCAACCTGTTTTATTCTGTGAGACAAGCTTGGGGAGTTGGAGACCAGGATAGAAGATACCAGAAGACACTAGGTAGAAGTAAGTATGTCCTGAATGATAGGAAATAGAAGCTGGTCACTCTTGGTGCTTCTTCCCATCGTTATACCTCCCTGTGCCTTCCCCCCAGGTATGTCTTGTGCACTACACATGCCTCCCTGCTCTTTGATCCCTTTTGATTATATTCTCCTCAATGTCATCTATGAACTTTTAGCCCTGCAAAAGATGACCTGATGTAGGCAGTGTCAAGGAAAGAGGTAGGCTTAAAAATATAGAAGGCCATGTGTTCTTACTGCTGCACATCTGCTAGTAGTGTGCTGCAGGCACAGCCAGAATGAAGACAAGGAGTGGCAAGTGTGAAAGGGGAGTTACGGTGCGCGTTTTGCACAGCTCTTTTTTCCATAGATGACATGGGTAGTGAAAAGCCTCACTGTGTCAGGATAGCAGAGCTGTTGATGAAGGCCACTTTCCCAGAGCTGTAGGTTCATTGTAGTATTCTAGCACCAGGATAGGAAGGATATTGATAGCATGTGACAAATAGAGTAGGCTAGGAGGTGGATTTTTGGATGCTGAAGGTTGTTTACTGAATGCCGAGGTCTGTATACCCATGGCTTTCAATTTTTACAGATTTTTTAGGAAGAAAAAGAAAAAAAAGGCTCTTTTTGTGTAACTAAAGATCACTTATCAGAAAAATATTAATTGTAATTTAACTTTGAAGTGTTCCAGTTGTGCTGGGCTGACATACTCTTTAAATTCCACCCCCAGAGACAGCAGAACAACTTACGTAAAACAACTTCAACTGGGAGTTGCTCTTATCACTAGAGTAACAAGACATGGAAGGAAAAAAACAAACAAATAAAACCCCCAACCAAGTAATCCATCAAGTACAGACCATGAATGTACTGCAAGTTTTATGAAGTAAGGAAACAGAAGAAAAAAAAAATGCAAGCCTACGTAATACCTCAGGCTTTGGTCCCTGACCTGTAGCGACTCTTTCCCAAAACCTATCCAATGAGCAATCATAAAGGTAGATTCCAGTGACAGCCTTTCCTGAGGCCAGGAACTGATATTTGAAGGAGCCCAGAGGAGGTCTAAGTTGAACCGTGTTACTGACACTATCTAACATAGCCCTTTGTCTCTCTGGCAATGCTCTTGTGAGCTGGGAACTCTGGCTGGATACTATTTATAGCTTTGGGGAAACTGAGACTCCTAGCAGGTGAGGCACTCTGCAGAGGCTTCCCTCTCTTTATCCTTTTATGCACTATACTGTAGCTGGACTAGTTGGTGGTGAAATCTGCACAGAGCATGATGGAGCTTGTGAGCAAATATACAGCTTGGTCACTTCTTTCCCTTGCTGAGGAGAGTAGAGTTTCTTTCTTATCCTCTTCATTGATCCCCCAGGTAATCATTGTTTAGTGGTCTATTGGAGTCAATTACCTTGACTGATAGCTGCATGGTGTAAATTCTTCCCCCACACTCTCATGGTGAAGGAACAGCAGTGAGGAACTCTAATGGAGGGGATTGTCAGAGAATGGGAAGGGGCTGTATTGAAACTGTGCAGGAGCTCCCTGCAAGACTGAATTTCAAGGTGGGGTTCCAAAGTTTAATTATCTTGTATGTTTTTACCTGTATTGGACCATTTCCTATTCTTGCACCCTTTTCTATCTGCCCTGTGGCTTTAAGCCCTAATTAAAAAGAATTTTACTCTGATGTGTTTAGAAACTTGTCTAGTGCGGTGTGCTTGGATTGAATCAGCAGTTGGGGGGTTGCAGTGCTGGAGATAAGAAAGGAGGCAAGGACTGAACAGTGCACACTTGTGCATGGAGGCAGCTGGGTCGTGCTGTTGTGGCCTGAGTGGGTGCTGGTAGTCTAGGACTTAAATGGGGGGGAAAAACCAAGATGGGTACAGCAGTAGAGTGGCTGTATGCGAGACCTCTCTGTGCTGCCCTGTGCCATTCTCTACCTACTATCCAGGCTCCTCTTCTGCCCTGCTTTGTTGGGGACCTTTCCCTTCACAGCCAGTTGCTGCAGAGACGTTGCCTGAGAGGTGTCCCTTTCTGCCTCTTGGCCACACACCCTGTGTGTCACAAGGTGCCCCAGAATAGCTTGGCTGAGACCTGAGCTGTAGCCAGCCATGCAGTTGAGTGTCACGTCTCTGTCCCGGGCAGAGAGCGCCGGGTGGCCTTTGAGTGCAGAGTGCTGGTGCGGCGGCCCTCTCAGAACCAAGCCTGACCAGGAGGCCACTGCAGGCCCAAGCCCGGCTCCTGCCTGGGCTCTGGCTCCTGCCTCATGGGCAGCATCGTGGGCACAGGGGACGGGAACGAGGAGGCCATTTGCACGCGGAAGACAAAAGGCCCTGCCCAGGCCTACTGGCAGGCCCTGCTAAGAGGGGACCGAGGGGCAATATCAGAGATCCTCGGTGACTCCCAGAATGGCCTGAGCCCCAGCTCCGTGTTTGACACCAGCGACCTGGAAGAGTGGAAGGATTACCGGTTCAACATACGTCGGCTGAGTACGCAGGGGACGGTGGGCTGGCAGCGCGGCCATCGGGCAGAGGCTCAGAACCTCTCGCTTTTGCCACAGAGCGTCCCCGCTACTGGACAGGGTGTGCAGGGGCTTGTGAGCTGCAGGGGTAGGAACAAGAGCGCTAGGGAATGGCTGGCTCTGCCTGTGCTGCTTGTGGGAGACTGTCCTGAGTCTTGTAGTGCAAAGTGTGTCTTGGGGTACATGGCTCGTCTGGCCAGGGAAGCTGCCCAGGCTCCCCAGCCAGGCAAAGGAGGTTGAAACTGCATGTGGCACCGTTCCTGTAGCCTCACTCTGTGCGTCCTGTGCTGGTTGCAGGACTGCTGATTCTCGTTGTGGGTTGTGCTGGGCAAGGGAATGTCAAGCTCTGTTGGGCCTTTGGGATATCTCCATTTGAATCCGGCCCTTCCAAACAGAGCTCATACCATACTGTTGTTGAGAGGAAGAGGTGGGGCGTGTGCAATGCTGAGTGTGTCATGCAGCAGAGACACGGTCCTCCAGCCCAGCCTGGAGGAGCTGCAGGAAGCACCATAGAGGCACTGTCAGCATGATTTGGGCTGCAACAGCTGCAGGTTGTTTATCAGCAGACCACACCATCAATGGTTTCGGCTGGATCAAGTCTTTGAGAATTGGTGGATTTCAGCTACCTGCTCTGTCCTAGGCCCTAGATGCCTCTTCCCAGACTTGCTTATCCATGTTCTGCTCAGGGCCTGAATCTCCTGTGTCCGTGCCCTGGCAGCCTGCTTCCACGTGTCCTGTATATCCATATGTCCTGCTACCTGGTTCCTTGTATTTGTGGCGTTGCGTGCATGGTGCTTTTCACAGCCACCCTGCTGCTTCCAGCCCTGTGCCCTTGGGTCCTTCATTTAGCCTGTTCCTCCCAAAAGAAACTTTGTACTGCATGTCTGAGCTGCAGAGGAAAAGTGAGCTTCTAGAGCAGCCCCTGCCCCACGGCTTCCTTGCCAGTGTGACCGTGCAGCCTAAAGAGACACCCTCCAGCAAGGTGTCATCCTTTCACAGGCCAGGGGAGGGCAGAGGCAGAGGTGGAAGCAACCAGCAGCCTCTCAAGGGGGAAGCCGGCTACTCAAGAGCGGGGTATGGCAAGGAGCAGGAGAGAAGGGGCAGGTCTGGGCCCAGAGCTTTTGTGCGCTGTGTCTGGACATGGATCCCTGACCTCTCTTTCTCTGCAGGATTGTGGTCTCTGACCTATGAGCAGGAGCTCACCACACCACTGCACATCACAGCTGGCCGAGGCTATGCCGACTGCCTGCACTACCTGCTCCTCAGGGGTGCTTCTGTTAACTTTGCACCGGGCGGCAAGACTGCCCTGCACGAGGCCTGTGCAGCGGCCAGTACGGACTGCGTGCGCCTGCTGCTCAGCTTTGGAGCTGACCCCGAGGCGGTCTCTGAGGATGGCTGCAAACCTCTGCATTTCTGCAAGAGTCCGGACTCCATCCAGTGAGTTGTGCCTGAGGGTACTGTGAACCTCCTCCCCTATGCAGGAGGGGGTGCTGCTTATAGCTGCAGGTGGGGTAGCGGTTGCAGCAGTGGCTGTGGAATAGAGTAGCATTATGGTGTGTCTCTGGAGCAGCTGCCACCTCCAAACAACTGCCTGCAAGATCTGTCCTCAGAGCGAGTGAGCTGAGCCTGGCACTGCTGCCTTACCCTCTGCCAGCAGTGCAGGGCCTGTGGTCACACTGTGATGTCCAGGCCGTGCGTGGTGCACACACCTCCAGGTGCATGGGTGCAAACTGGCACTGTGGTGACACTCACTTAGGCTCTGAGGAGAGCTGGCTAAAGTGAGGGTGACAGTATGTCTGCTCATCAGTCCTCCTGGCCTAAAACCACTGCTCCAGGGCATGGGGAGTGGGGCTGTGGGATTGTTTGGAAAACTGAAAGCCGTGGCTTTGTACAGCTGGGAAGAGGTGGGGGTGACAGGTAAGACAAGAGTTAGGAGAGCCTATCACTAAGTCATCTTGGGCCGCACAGGTGTGTCCAGCAGCTGTTGCAGCATGGTGCCAATGTGAACAGCCGGACAGAGGAGGAGGACAACACAGCACTGCATGTGGCAGCACAACATGGCCTGGCAGAGCACGTTAGGCTGCTTCTGCGCCACGGGGCAGAGCTGGAAGCAAAGAATGAGGAGGGACAGACCCCGCTGAATGCTGCCTGTGCTCAGCCCCACCAGCCTCAGGACATGGAACGCTACTACAGGGTCTGCCAGCTTCTTGTGGATAGCGGTGCTAACATCAATGCTGCAGACAGGGACCGCCAGCACCCACTTCACTTGGCCTGCAAGAATGCCAACGCTCAAGTAGTGGAATTACTACTGGCCCGGGGTGCACATGTCAACATCATGAACTACAGTGGCAACACAGCGCTGCACAATATCTTGCAAACCACTGCCTACAAGCTGGAGCACCATCCAGAGCTTGTGGTCCGAGCCCTGCTCAACTATGGTGCCATCCGCATCTGGCCTGGCTCCCTCCTCAAGGTGCAGGACCCACAGCTTTCCTGGGAGCAGGGCAGGAAGGCGATGGATGCTAAGGGCCCTGTGAGAACAAGGATGTCAGTGCTGCAGCAGGGCTTGTTCTGCACCTTGCCAGATCTCTGTCTTGCCTATCTCCCCCCAGTAACTGGGGGAGAGAAGTCGCTGGGGGATTCTCTGAAGCTCTTTGCTAGGTCGTGTTCTCCCATAGGAGTCTCCTGCTTCTGTTAACACTGCTAAGCTGTGTGAACAGTTCCTACCCATAGCCCCAGCTATTTGGCCCTGAACACTTGTCTTTTTCCTCTTGGGTGGTGTGTTTCCTCTCTGGGACTTGTCCTCCAATTCATACTGATTCTGCAAGACACCAGAAAACAAAGGGTTAATTGCTTGTCTTAATTCCTGAGCATTGCAATAATTACCCAGCCCGGAGATCAGCAGATTGCTCTCCCCTTTGGGAAAATACAGGAAAATCAACAATTAACACTAATTAATCTCCTATTAACGCCAGATAATGAGGATCACTGGTACAGCCGGAATAGGCTCTGACAGCTACTGCTGGCCATGGGGAGCGTGAGCTGGGGGCTCCACCTGGGTGCAGCTCTATGTAGATGGGCTCAGCTCTGAAGGCTGTGTTGGAGACCTTAGATGCACAGGCACCTGTATGTGGTGAGCAGAGGCCTGGCACCCACCAGACGTGCCTGGCTAGCACTGAGTGCATGCAGTATCTCCTGGGGGCTCTGTGTAACATGGGCATGGTGCCTCCTGGGCCCTACCTTGCGCCCAGCACAGATACAGAGTGTCTCTGCAGCCTCCCCTGGTACAGGCACACTGCATCCCTGAGGTTTCTGTGTGGCATTTGGCAAAAGCGCAGCATGCTTTAGTGTCTCTGCACACAAATCATCTGCCAGTTCTTGCCCCAAAGCAGCTCGTGTTCTAACCAAACAGACGTGAGGAAAGGAGTCTGATACAAGACAGTGCTCACAAGCCATGGGTGATGATGAGGCAGAGGAGAGGTGTGTATCCCAGCTCCACACCTGAGTCCCTGCCCTGGTGCAAAGGGGATCCAGCTGTTGAATGCAGTCATGCAGCATGGGCTGGGTGTTGGCTCAGTCCCCTCTGTGCAGGATGCCCGAAGAGCAGAAACAGTGATCAGTCTGCCTGCCATCAGTGGAGTGATTCCCCATGACATCATCAGGGACGGACAGTTAGTCTCTGGTCTTTTCTGGATACATGCAGCTTTTCTAGTGTGTGAAGGTGGTGGGGCTTGAAGGACCTGGACCATGTGCTGTACTCATCTGCCCTTTCCCTGCCCTAGGTGCTGCGATACTGCCACAAGTGCCCACGTGTCATCGAGGCCCTGATGAACAGCTATGAGCACGTGCGTGTGACTGAGGACTGGGTGGAGGCTGTTCCAGCGGAGGTGGTAGAGGTGAGGGGATGCAGGGCAGCCCGGGCTCCCTGGGCTGGGGGGCCTCTGGGTCCAGGTTGGGGGGACAGGGAGAGGGGCAGCTGCAGAACAGGAGTGGATTCCCTGCAGTAATTTAGGCTCACTGGCTCTGGCTCTACCTTTCTGCCTCCGGAATGTTTTATCTAGCTCTGTTCCTCTCTCTCTTCTCTTCCTATAGAAATACCCACGTTTCTACCAGTCACTCTTTGCCCTGGAGCAAGGTCCTCGCTCCTTGCAGCACCTGGCTCGCTGCACACTCAGGACCTTCTTGGAGGGCCGGTTGCTTCAGGTCCTGTCGCAGCTGCACCTGCCAAGTGCCGTGCACCAGTTCCTACTGCTCGGCTTTGAAGATGTTCTCTACTAAGAGATGCTGCTCAACTGTGTCCCTGTGCCACCATTCAGTCCCTGCCACTGCAGCCTGCACCAGCTCAGCTATCTCCCTCCCTCATCTCCCACCTGTCCATGTTATTGTCCTCCGACCCAACCCCTAATCCTGCCACTATGCCCCTGTCTGCTAGACCATGTCACCTCTGTCTCATGCATCTGGTTTAGAGCATTGTTTACCCATGTTATCTATGGCAAACTAGGAAAAACAAGAGATAGGGATTAGGGCACTTTGTGGGACCAGGAGCAAATATTCTTCTTGATCACAGTGCTACTTGCAGGATACCAAACTGTTGTAGCCCAAATCTGCAAACTCAAACCTTATTCAAGCAGCTGTGTGGTCCTGGGCATTTGTTGTGAGTCTGTCTTCCTGAAGGCGTTTACAGTTTGTACCCAAGGATGTTTGGAATAAAACCTGATCTCTGTTTATGTCTACTAGGGTACAGCTTCTGCCTTGCTTGGAAGGGTGCCCCTCATGCGGTCCGTGTATTTGACATGCCATGCATAGTGGCATGTAATGGACATGGGCCCTCTCAGATGTATGCACTTGTCTGCCTTTTAGAGAGTGTGCAGGAATGTGTGGTGGCTGTGGGCTGGGTCCTTCCAAACAAGAATGTCTTGTGCAGGAGCAATGTCTGTGTTGCTTGGCCTTGCCCTGGAGGGCAGACAGCAGTGCTTGTTCCTGTGCTGAGGACCTTTGTGTGGAGTCCTCGATGTGCTGGGGGAGTGCTGGTCCATTGGTACGGAGCAGGTGGCCCTTGTGACAGTGCAGCCCTGCTGCCTGTGCTGCATGTGCACAGACAAGGAGAAGGGCAACATTGAGAGGCAGGGTTATAAAGAGATTAAAGCATCATCCACCCTTAAATGGCTTGCTGGAAGCCAACCCCTCTTCAAGCTGCAGGTTCAGACTAATGCATTCACAGGCCGGTGGGCTGGCTGCCTGACACTGACAGCTTTAGGTTTGTGGACTGGCCCTGCACAGGTCAGTGTCCACTGCAGTTCCACAGAGGCAGTCATGGAGTATGGAGGAAAAGCAAGTGTGCTCAGGGCTCTTCTGGTCACCTGTGAAATGTCACAGCAGGTCTAAAAACACCCGTTTTCCCCAGGGCAGAGGAGCTGTTTATACAGTGGCTTTGCACCTAGCGATGCATGTCTGCTAAGGGGACATTTTCCTACATGCCGAAGAGGAGCGGTATTTGCTCTCTAAAGTCCCTGACATAATAATTCTTACACTCTCATTTACTTTTTCTTTGAGGCAACCTGCTGCATTTCACCCATGAACTTGCACATGTGTTACGTGTTAGGAAACAACACGTTATAAACATTTTTTTTAGCTTTCTCTTTTCTTAGAGAACGTGACTTGCATCAGGAATGTGTTTCATGGATTCTTGCTAATGTTCATTCAATGTATTACTGCACTGTCCCTACATCACTTCTGATAGATATTACTAGCTCATAAAAACTGACTCAGCAGGTGGTATGTGCTTTACCTTTTTGCTGGGATCTGTGGTGTCCGTGGCAAGACACTGGTGAGGTTGTGGCTGGGATAGAAGTTGGAGCAAAAGGATGGAGAATAGTTTGGCCCCTATTTCTGCAGTCAACCCAGGACTTTTGCTTTATTTTTTCACTGACATTGGCTGTATGAAGTGGGAGATGGGCAAGGTAACCCTGCCATGTAAATCCTTACCCTAAGGGTAAGATTGTGTCCTGTTGTGGGGGTTGATGTTGTTGCTGGGCAAGTGTAGTCATTTTGTGCGTGGTTGCTTCCTCTGATGAAGCCTCATGGTCTGCAGCTCTGCTTGGGCAGAGCTCTTGACCAAGATGCTCACACTCCTTGTGCGTGCTCCCAGTCCTGTTGCTGTCAGAGTGCAAGACCCTTTTTGCTGCTTCTCAGCTGTTTTTGCACCACAGGTACAAGGAGCCTTTGGAGACTAGTAAGTAGAAAGGCTGAATACCTTGGCACACGACAGAGCTGCAGCTTTCCAGCCCAAAGATTTTCTAATGGAAAACAGTTTGGGGAAATCATGGCCTTTGGAGGCAGTGTTTTGGGGCAGGACAGATGGGGGTGTTCAGGAGTCTTCTGGGTTTTGACGATACCATTCATACAGCCATGCAGGACTGACGTCTGCTCCACTATGACTTGGCAGGTCAGCACTGCAACACAGTCCATGGCTTCATAAAGGGAGTGGAGCACCATGCTGGGAGGGGAACCAATGCCCACAGGCACAGGGCTTCCCATTGCTCTTGGCTCACTACAGTCAGGGCTTGTGTTGCTTGTGTATTGCAAGGTGAGGACCATAGTGCATTAAAACCACTCATCAACTTCAGTCATGTGGGACTGTTCCTACAATTCATGTGGAAAGTGTAAGGGCAGGGAGGATATTAGAGTTAGGGTCTTCCAAGGGAGCAACAAGCAAAACAAAAACTTTTTTTTTTTTTTTTTTTTTTTTTCTGTGCAACACATAATTATACAGTGGGGCTCTTTGGTACAGCATGTTGTGAAGGTCTAAGACTTACTAATGTCCAAAAATGATTAGACAAAATCAAAGAAGTCATTGGTCACCATTAACCAGGGTGGACTGGAAGATGTTTCTGGCTCAAGGAGTGCCTGAACTGCCACTGCTGGGAGAGACACCCTGGGGCAATATTGCAGTTCATCCTCTCAGTGCGCTCTCGGTGCACCTCTCAGTTCTTCCAAGGTATTCTGAGGTAGGTAGGTATTCTGTTAATACCTACCTCAATGCAGGAAACTGCCACACAGATTGAGACTAAATAGCATGGCGTAGTGGTTCTCACCACCCTACACAACTGTTCATACTGCTCCAGAAAGCAAGCTTGATATAGCTATGTAAGGTCTGTGCACCACCTCCAATGTGTTCACACTCTTGAAGGACCACACCATGGAGACACATGATAGGAACATATGGTCCTATGTCACAGGAACCTGAAAACATAATCAGGTACCTTTGGGGCACTCAAGCTTTTCTTCAGATTGAAACTATTAGAAAATGGCAAGGTGAGTGCTGAAAAAGGCCCCGAGTTTAACTCAGTTTTGCTAATCAATTAGCAGTTGATTTTTAGAAACAATCACAAGAAGAAATTAGAAAGGTTTGGTGTTTCTGAGCACACACCGACAATATAACCAGCTTTTAACTTGCCCCCTCAGACAGCCTCTAGTGCAGGATTACCTGTCCTTGCTGTGTGGGGGGTGAGGGCTGCAGTCCCCGCTTGTGACAAGGAGCTCACAGCCCAGTTGCACATGATGTTGTTCCCTTTATTTGCTCTTGTGCTGTCACCTGCTAGTTTCACCCAGTGTGCCACTGTATGTGAAGGCTCTGCGAGCAGCTCCTGTCTGTTCCTCCAAGGATGTGTTCCTGGATGCTGCAGGTCCTCCCGCTCCTGCTGCACTCCAGTGATGGTGTCGCTCCCCAGGGGAAGCTGCGGTAGTTGTTTGCAGCCTGCTCATGGCAGCGGGATGTGAGGTCTGCCCCAAATCCTTAGTTATCATAGAGTCATATTTCATGAGATTTCATTCCACAAGGATATTTCACTAAATATATAGGTTTACCAAAAATAATATCAAAATGTTTGAAATCACATCAGTTAACTAAAAATGTTAGGTGACATTAATTTGGATTCCAGCTTTTACTAATTTTGCCCAGAACATCCCTTGCTGTTTGTCTGTAATTGCTTTGGATCTGTGTTGAACTAACTGCTCTGCAGTTTCTTGGGTATCCATGTGAACATACTGAAATACTGGTAAGATGATAGCCTTTTTCTTCTCGGTTATCCTAAGTTCACTAGTGTGCCATGGCTTGCTAGCAAGAAAAAAAATTAGTTGGTCAGTAAACTCATTAGCCAATTAAACATTCTTACATGGAAGCTACCTTTCTGCATATTATAAAAATTGTTGCTTTAAAAGTTTGTCTTTAGCATCTTTCTTAACTCCTGATGGAATAAAAAGTGGTATATCCTTACCAATATGCAATATGAATATTACCCATCATTGTTTCAAATACAGAACAGAAACACTGACTGAAGCCTCTGCTGTGGTGTGTGGCTGCGTGTTTGTGCACAGCACTGGGGAGCCGTGCACAAGGCTGCAATCCGCCTGCCCTGCTGTCAGGATATCCCACGCTGGGGGCGGCATTTCGGAATTGCTGCTGAACGAGGGAGGTTGGGAGAGGAGCCACAGGAGCCTCACGGTGGGGCTGGCAACCGGGCACCGCACAGAGGTGTCCATGCACGGGCACTGTGCAGCAGCCAGGGATGCACGGGTCGGAGGTGGTCAGGGATGGATAGTCAGGGATGGATGGGCCGGCAGTGCCGCAGCCTCCAAGGACTCCCGCATCCTGCCACATGTGCACACAACAGCCATCCCGGGCCCAGCAGACCTGACTGAACCTCCCGAGTAGGGGAGAGGAGTGGGGCATGCAGGGAAGCTGCTCCAGTCAGTGCTCTGGCCGGCACACGAGGCACAGTGAGATCCAGCCAGGAAGCTGAAGCTGGACAAACACAGATGGGAAGAGATGCATTTTTAATAGCAAGAGTAAATCATCTAATAGTTAATTACCTCTTAGAATAACTTATTGTGATGGGTGTAGGCTTTCCATCTCTGGCATTTTTAAAACTCTGTATAAATCCTGTACTTCTGCTCCAGACGGATGCCCTGCAGCGAGTGCTGGTGTCCTGAGGTGCATGTGCAACTGGGGTGAGCACCCGCTCAGAGGAGATGTGCTCCAGCTGCAGCCTCTGCTCTGTTCCTCGGGCTCATCACCAGGTGTCACCAATGCCACTCACATCCCTCCTTCCCGCCTGCCACATGCCCAGCTCCTGCCACATGACTGTGGCTCTGGCTTCTTGGCCACAAGTTCTTGCACCAAGCTCAGGCAGGTGCATGACAAGAGCCTGTGACTTTCTACATTGGTGCTATACTTGGTCAGCCTCCCTCTAATATCTGGGAAAATACTGTGGAACGTAGGTAAATAATTTCTAAGTGCCTGGAAGACAGTAAGGAGTCTAGACAAGATGCAGAGTCGGTCAGATCATGACCTCTTTTCCTTTTTTTTTTTGGCATTAAGATA